GTGGCCTTGGTGTTATCAGCACCGCACTCTACCGAGTGAGCCACGGGCCGGCCCTAAATCAACTGATTTTACTTGTGAAACTTCCTTGCCTTTACAATAAAAAACAGAAGCTGACTTTGAATTGGGGCTGTACCCAGTTTTTTCTTTCTAACAGAGGAGTTGCTGAGGTGCAGTCCCTTCCGGCTTCCCATTGCATTCATGCTGCTTTGAGTAATCATTTTCTCATCTCTCTCACACAGTGAGAAATGTAACACAGAACAGTGGAGGAAACCCACTGTTAACATTTTTAGGTACATCCTTCTAGAACCTTTTAATGCATATGCGTATATATCGTATACTAAATCACGATAGTGTAATACATTAGGTGAGGAAAATGTACACTGGACTCCTTTCTTGAGAGGTCTAGGTTCTCTCTCCCTCACCCCGCTCCCAAGTCTTCCACATATCACGGAAGTGGCAGACTTAACCACGTGTCCCATCCGGAGGTTTACCAGCCAGTGGGTGCTGAGCTCAGTGGTGTTGCTAAGCACCCAGTTAGTGAAGCGTGGAGTAGTATGTAAGTACAACTACTTAACTAGGTTAGCGGCCTTCGGCATCTGTCAAGGTTCAAAGGGAGAAGCACAATCCCCAGCTGGCGCTCACATATGGTTTGTTACAGGGATGGGAGATGGTTAAGCGGTCCCAGTCGGGAAGGGAAGCAGGGGACAGCAAGAACCAGCTGGAACTCACCTCCAGTCTCCTTGATCTCCTGGCCTCTGACCTTGGTGGCTCGGGCATCCTGTTGAAAGCGGGTCCTTTCCTCACGGAGCGACACACACCCTACGCTGAGGAGTCACGCCTGGCCCACGAGTCAGAGAAGTGGAAGGAGGAGCCGGAGCAGGCAGCCCCCTGGCGAGGCCAGTGGCTGTCACACGTCCCCGAGGACGACGAAGGGCGCGTTCCTGCCTCCCCACCTATGCACCGTCTCTGGCAGCACAGTCCCCAGTGCAACCTGAAAGCTGCAGGCAGGGACTCGTGGGCAATGTGGTTCAGCGCAGCCGGCCCGCGCACCAAGCACCGGGGCGGCCTGCTGCGGGTAGGCCCTGAGACGAGCCCGGCTTCAGCGGCCTCGGTGGTCCCTGAGTTGAGGCGATCTGAGACGCACACGGTGTTTATGGAGGAAAGTTTTGGTTTCTTCTTTGTCCACATGAGGAGTCAGCCCTAGCCCTTCTTTCTCTTTTCTGCCCTGTCTCCCTCATTACCACCCACACTGCAAACCACTTTTTTCAATGGATCTTCTTTATTTTACGAACCACCCTTTTAAAATTTTTCTGTCTGTCCTAGGTAGAAAACTTCAAAGTCAAAGTAGTTAAGAACCATTACTATAGAGATATGATCAAGTTCTCAAATTCAGTCCACTTTTCCAGGATAAAACTCGGGATCTTTTTTTGCATAGAGCGGTTACAAGTAAATGCCAGCAGGACACATTGCTCCTTAACAAATTGCAAGTGATTAAAAAAAAAAATAGGAAACTTTTGACAAGCCTAGATAATAGGAAACGCTTAGGGTATAGTCAGCTCTCCGAGGGATGCCCGCACCCTATCCCGTCTAGCCCGAACCCTTGCTCTCAGGTGACGCGAGGCTCAGGAACCATTGGTGGCCCTGGGCTCCTAGCTCGCTTGTCCCCTGCACCCCAGTGCTCATTGAGGAATGTGGGCCTACTCAGGGACCTCAGTGCCAGGTTCCCTCTCACCCCTCCAGCAGCCATGGTGGTTTTGAAATAGAAGCTGCAGTGGGAAGGAATCGTCTTAACCATATTTACCTTGGGTGAGGTACGGTGAGGGCAGATGAAGATCAAGGGAGAGAAACCGGAAAGAGTTTTAGTTTTGTGGCAGTCACAGCTCCCTAGGGAAAACACAGCACTCGTTGCATGGCCACTGTGAGGGAGCACCCGGTCGGTGGTGAGGCAGAGGGAGGGGAAAATGGTGGGCAAGCACCTTTATTGTGGCTTGTGCAGGAAGGAGAGGGTTAGGCCGGCAAGTAGGTTTAGGATTGGCTAATTTGAGTAATTTCGGGGGGCTCTGGGGCATCGGGGCTGTCCCTGGCTGTCTGGTACCTGGTCCTGGGGTGATTAGGGTGGGTGTACAATGGCCCACAGTGTGGGAGCCCGATGTGGGAGCCCGATAAGGAGCCGGT